TTGTTGTTGTTGTTGTTGTTGTTGTTGTTGTTTGTTTGTTTTGTTTTTTTTTTTTTTTGTGTGTGTTTGTGGGTGAATTAATTTGTTTATTTTTTTAGCTCCCACCAATAAGTGAGAACATGTGGTATTTCTTTTTCTCTGCCTGACTCGTTTCACTTAATATTATTCTTTCAAGGTCCATCCATGTTGTTGCAAATGGCAGTATTTCATTCGTTTTTATAGCTGAGTAGTATTCCATTGTGTAGATATACCACATTTTCCGTATCCACTCATCCGATGATGGACATTTGGGCTGATTCCAGCTCTTGGCTATTGTGAAGAGTGCTGCAATGAACATTGGGGAACAGGTATACCTTCGACTTGATGATTTCCATTCCTTTGGCAAGCAGTCTTTCCTTTTGTGGCTTCTAAATTAGGAGAGCATAGCAGAGACTACCAGGCATTGATCATCAGAATAGTCAGGAATGAGTGTTCCTCGGCCTCACCACAGCTCACAGTCTGGTCTAAGCCTCCTACATGTTCTGTTTCCATTGTCCAGAGGAGAGAACTGAGGCTTGGAGAGGTTCAGCCACTTGCCCAGAACACACTGCCAAAGTGGTAGGTAGTCTCTGCCACTCCACTGCCCCTATGGGGGGATTGCACCTGACCCCTCGTGGGTTCTCCTCCCCAAGATATGCAGTGAGGTGGAATGTCGCCAGGTTAGGACTAGATGCAAACCTCTGCACAGGGTACTGGACCCACTCCCACCCTCAACCTACACCCCTGCAGGCTCAGCATCCAACACTTGCTCTGAACCCCAGTGGGGGCTTTTCCCAGGAGCCTGAGCCCCACCTTGTTCTGCAGCTGTCTGAGCAGGGTCCTCCTGCCACTGGATTCATTTCAGGCCTGCAAACATTTCACACCTACTCTGTACAGGATACTTTGCTGAGGCAGCAAGATAATAACCCAAGACCCACTTCCCATGTCCCAGTAGCTCTCAGTTTAGCGGGGGAAAGAGGTGGGGCAAGTGAGAGTGCAGGATGCGGGCAAAGTGCTGGGGACAGTGCAGCAGAGGGGTGAATGGAAACAAGACACGGAGCCCAGTCTTGAAGGCCAGGGAGGCAGGAGTAGGTTAACCAGAATCAGCAGTGAGAGACTCATAGGGGAACAGGGAGAAGACACCAACCTGCTGCTCCTGCAGAAGGAGGGGCTAGGGCTGCCATGGGCCGGGAGGAACTCCACAAAGAATCACTAGAAGCTTCTGAAATGATCAGACTGCTGGAAGGCAAGTTGAGGGCTGGGTCCCAAAAGTGTGAATCCAAGAGAGCAGTCACAAATCACAGCAGGCAAGCTATGGCAAAGACCCACCTAGTAAGGTGGCCTCAGGAAAGGCAGAGGAAAGAGTCCAGATTTGGGGATGGAGATATCGAAGAGGGGAGGGCATTGGGCATCCAAAGGATGGCAGTGTTGTCAGCGATGCTGCTGGAACCTTGCTGAGCAGAGCCCCACGCTTCTGTGGGGGGCAGGGAATGGCTGTTAATGGAACCTAGTCCTCGACCAAACTGAGCCTGGCCAGGACAGCATGTGGGTTGGGTAAGGCTGCAGAGACTGGCACAGATGGAGGTGGAGCCTTAGGAGAGAAGGAGGACCCAGGGCGCAGGATCAGGGATAGAAGCGTCAGTTCAGCAAGGCGGATCTGCTTCAGCACCAGCCTCTGAGTCCTGGAGCCCGGGCAGCCTGTGCAGACCAGGTTGGCCCATCCAGCACAGGAGACCCAGCTAGTGGTTTCCAAACTGCGTGGCCATCGGGGCTGGGGTCACAGGTTGCAGGGGGGTACTATGGCCCAAGCATCCTTCACCCTCCAGCTCAGCCCCATCCCCACAGCCATCTCTCATAGGGGAGTGGGGGGTTTCAGGGAGAAATGTTCTGCAGCTCAGAAAGCCTGAGCCCCCTGGCTGCATGGTCTCCTTGGGGAGACACCATCCCAATGGGGGATGTAGGGGTAGGTTCAGTTACTTTGGCATTGCCCCTCCCTGAGGGCAAAAGTGGCTGGGTGTGGGCTGTGCACCCCACCTTGAGGGGGCCCCCAGGGAGTGGCTCACCATTCACCCACAGTCACCCCCACCTGTTGTGGGTTTGTGGGGGCTGGAACGTGTGGGAGATGAAAGCAGAGAAAGGCTCACGATTCTCCATTCTTGATTATGCCTTCCCACAGGGGTAGGCTGGGGGTGAAGCTGCTCACAGCCCCTCCCAAGGGGAAGCCTCCAAGGCTGTGGGGGCTGCTTCCGTCCGCAGTTCCTTGCTGGTCTGTGGGTTCTTCGTGGGGGGGGGGGGGTTCTTCGTGTGTGTGTGCACGCGCGCGCACATATGTGTGTGAACACACGTATAGTGTATGTTTGTCCACCTGTCCCTCCCCCACCCTTCTCTCCTGCCCTCTGCTTGGCTTCCTCTGCCTGGCTTCTTCTGCCTCCCCTCTCCTTCCTGGTCCTCCTCGCCTTTCTCTGGCCCTGCTTAGACCACAGGGGGAGGGGGATCTCAGATCCAGAGGGAGCCTTCAAAGTCCCATAGTCCTGTCTTCTTCACATTTAAGAATTCCCTAGCTTAGCTAGAACAGGTAGCTGCTTCTAGCAACAGGGACGCCCAGCCCACCAGGCACCTGTCCAGTCATCATGCAGGCCCACAGCAGCAGGCACTTGGGAGGGTTTGGGCTCCTGCAAACCCACTCCCCTGTTGTTCCCACTGTGAAGCCCTCAGTGGCGGAACCACACAAGGAGGCCCAGTCCTTAGGGCCTTGTCTCTCAGGCCTCCTGCATCTACACAGGAGAGGGGACTGGGCTGACATCCCAATCTGTCCAGTGGACAGCATCCCCTGGGGCATCAGGGTTCCCACACCGAGCTGGTGCCAGGCCCCTGTGTCCTGTGGGGTCAGGAGGTTTACCCCACAAGTAAAATAGGGATAAAGGACGTCCTCCCTCCCTGAGTAGACATGGGCAGACGCAGTTGTTACCAGTCTTGGGCTCACAGCTGGGAAGCCTGTCCTTCAGGAACTGACAGGACCAGAGGTTTTCAGAGGGACTTGTGGGTGGGCTGAGCTTCTGTCCTCTGGAGGGAAATTAGGCCTGAAGCACGCTGGTTCTCTGGTGAGCGGAGACAGTGCCTAGGGTGAGGCCAGGTTGAGGAGAAGGATAAGAACCAAGCCAGGCACTGGCCACCATTCAGGGGCTGGCTCAGGTTTCTCAAGCCCTGCCATGTAGCTGCACATGTCAATGCTTCATCTCCTTGTCCCTGCAACTTTCGAGGTAAGGACAGCATCCCTGAGTTAAAGATAAGGAGGGTCAGCGATCAATCATCCAAGTCCACAGCTTGCGTCTCTCTGCTGCCCTGTGAGTAGCTCCCCAACCCCGAGATGCAGCTCAGTGGCCTCAGGTGGTCCGTTTATGTTTGCATTACCCCTTATGAGCCATTCTTGCAACTGAAGGACATTTAGGTCATTTATAATTTCTCACTGTTTTTAATAATGCCTAATTTGGGGGCATCTCTGGACCTCCCGACTTTGTTCAAGTTCTGTGGCTTCAAACAAACGTCATCTGAGAAACCAGTTCTGCCTCTGCTTGGGCAGCAGTGTTGGGGCACCTGCCCCGTCAGCTCACCCAGCCCCCAACTCTGGCTGTCTCCCTGCAGGACGAGAGGGCACGCATCGAAGCACTGGGTGGCTTTGTGTCTCACATGGACTGCTGGAGAGTCAACGGGACCCTGGCCGTCTCCAGAGCCATCGGTGAGGGGAGTGTGGAGGCTGACTTGGGGGTGCAGTGCGTAGGGCGGCCACCCAAAAGCCGAGGCCTGTGGACTATCGCCCACGGCTCACCGGTGGTTTGGGGCAGCAGTGCCGTGTGCCAAATATTGTTTGAAATGTACCAGGGTCACGTCATCAGTCAGGCTGTGAAGGGAACAGGGCCGATTTAGAGACTGCAACTGGCAGCACCTAAGAAACTTTCATCTCACGCAAATCACAGCTACTACACGTACTAGCAGAAAAGTTTTAAATATTTGTAAATGAAGTTTATCTCCTTCCCTTTATACCATTTGTGTGGAAGATTCTTTTTTTTGCTTTTGGGAAAAAAATGTTTCTCCTCTCCCCCGTCCCATTTTCTCAGTGTCCTATCACTGCCGGGTCTCAGCCTAGAGGCTTGGTGAGGGCACCTGCACCCTTCCCCTACTTCAAAGTCACTCCTCCCCAGCTGCCCCCCTGGGATCGGGCGTCTGTCCCTCCCACCCTCCTGAACTGTTCTGTCCTTCTTGGCAAATGCAGTTCCTTTCCTACAGCCCTCCTTCATGCAGCTTCTACCATCGTATCTCTGGATACACTGGGACAGGGACGCAGGTGGGGACAGGTGAGAGCCAGAAAAGAGCCCTCTCCATGTGGAGGCTGGGGTGGCGGTCACAGGCCATGGTCAGGGGCTTGTGTTCCATTCCAAGCAGAGTGGGAAGCATCGGACAGTTTCGCTTAAGGGAGCAACAGACCCCTTGAGAACAGGCTGGTCTCTGTCCACGGAGCTTCTGACACAAGACTCTTCTCTCTCTGCCCAGGGGACATCTTCCAGAAGCCCTACGTGTCTGGGGAGGCAGACACAGCCTCCTGGGAGCTGGCGGGCTCTGAGGACTACCTGCTGCTGGCCTGTGATGGCTTCTTTGATGTCATCCCCCACCAAGAGGTCATTGGACTCGTCCAGAGCCACCTAGTTAGGCATCCACATCCGGGCAGTGGACTTCATGTCGCTGAGGAGTTGGTAGCTGCGGCCCGGGAACGGGGCTCCCATGACAATATCACAGTCATGGTGGTCTTCCTCAGGGACCCCCAAGAGCTGCTAGAGGTCAGGGTTCAGGGGGCAAGGGACTCTCAGGCAGACATGAGAAGCCAGGACTTGCCCTCTGGCCTCTCAGAGCCTGAGACCAATACTGCACAGAGAAGCTAGGTGGTCCAGGCCTCCCCCCACCCCCTTCTTTCTGCCCTTGTGATTCTCCCCCTCGAAGGCCTTAGGACCCAACAGGCAGCCATGGGCAGGGGTGCCACCCACACAGCGCTTCCCCCCAGCACCCCTGAGCCACTAGTGGTGTGCCCTAAAGACTGAAGAGCTGCATGAGGCAGCAAGCGGATCTCAGAAGAAGTCTGGAGAAAAGAGCTCACCAAAGAGATGTCCCAGGAAGTGGACCGGCTCCTGCTTCCAGCTCCCACTGGGGCAGGGGTGGGACCAGAGGCCACAGCTCCTGGTGGCAGCCAGACCAAAGACACCAGGTGTGTGCATGTAGCAGCGTGTGGGACCCTCAGGCAGACCCAGGAGTCACATATGTCTTCAGGCACGTCCTGGGGTCACGCCCAGCAGGCAGGTGTCTTGCCCAGGTTTCTCATCACTCCTCACTGTGGCCATGGCCATGGCCATGGAGGGTTCATACTGATAGATGAGCCCAGCAGATCCTGGTTGGCCATGCCAGCTTGCCAAAGAGGAGAGAGCAACCCAGTTGGAAAGAGAGGGAGCACCAGGGGTCTGGTCTGCAGTGGCAGCCTGTGACATGGTTGGGCCCACCAGAGCCTTCCAAGCCCTCTCTCTTCCCTCAGACACCCTGGGGAGGTGAAGCTCCAAACCTATGACACACATGTGTCTTTTGTGCATATGTTTGGGGTTTTTTTTCCAGGGGAAAGTCTAATTCAGAAGCAGTATTTCAAGTTTTATCTTTAAGAGTGCCAAGATGACCTGTTGTGTCATGTAATTTAAGCAGAGCTTAGCATTTATTTTATTCCTTAGAAAACTTAAGTATTTACTTTTTTTTAACCTTTTTTTTGGGGGGGGGGGGGACTCTTTTTGCAGTATTACTGAATTTTTTTCCCTCAA